TCCAACAGGGTTCTCCGTATGAAGAGAAGGCATTACAGGCTCCAGAGGTTCGCAATGGGTCTACTTCGAGACGGGCTGCTCGTGGTGGTCGCATCAACGGCGTGGCCAGAGGTACTGTAGCACAAGCATCTCCACTTCGCCAGGGCTGGGGTGCGGACTCAGAAGCTTCTTTGCAAGGATTACAAGATCTTACAACGAAGACTGCTGATCTCGAAGGCACGACCGAGAACGCGCTCGTGCCTGAACCAGACCGCGAAGTTGCGGGGACTGTGCCACTTCAAAACCCTGCTGCCTCGGCCGGCAGTGGCTGGGGATGGCCTATCTGGAATCGTTCTGCACCAGAAGCCAATGACACTGCGCAGCTCTCGCTTGAAGCGCTACGTTTGCAAGGCGAGACGCCAGCGGCACAGGGCGCGGCTGAGCATTCCTCTGCTGGTGACGGCATAACAGCAGCGCCCGCCTCATACTATGACACTACCGTCGGTCTCATCTCTCGATGGATGCCCGGATGGCCGAGAATCGCTGAGCCGTCAGATGCGGCGAACGTCACCGCTTTGGACACCGCGGAGGTCAAGCAACCTCCGCCCGCTCTGACACCCGCTGAGCAGGTCAAAGCGGAAGCATTGGCTCGTCCTGCTCACGCGCCTATCCAGACACCAGAGCTCGAAGCTCGGAAAGCTGTTCTGAACAGCGCAACCAAGAGTGGATGGATATCGTACTTCAGCTCTCGAAGCGCACACACTGCTAGTCATCGTGTTGGCGACGCGCCTGACGGCCCTGAGGTGATGGAAATCGATTTCGAGGGATCTACCGAAGATGGTACTCCGGCCAATGCAGCTGGCTTGCGCCCTGCTAGTCGCAACTTCGGCAGGCCACGGGGTGCGAGCGGACCTGCTCCTCCCGGCAATGGCGACGGGGACGGTGGAGCCGGCCGCAAGAAGAAAGACAAGCTCGACAACGCCACGCCAACGAACGGCGCGCCGACGTCCTCGAGGTTACAGAGTGGCCCTCCTGGGCTGGCGCACAAGCTTTCGAGAGGCTCTCTTAAAGGGTCTGAGCCATCTCGCAGCTCGATTGCTGGTAAAGGGCCCACGGCTGGAGGGAAGGCTGGAGAGACGCCTGTCGAAGGTAGCCTCCAGGAAG